GAGTGCAATGGTGTGATCTTGGCTCACTGCAACCTCCACTTCCCAGGTTCAAGCGATTCTCCTCCCTCAGCCTCCTGAGTAGCTGGGATTGCAGGTGCCTGCCACCACACCCAGCTAATTTTTGTATTTTTATTAGAAATGGGGTTTCACCATGTTGGCCAGGCTGGTCTCAAACTCCTGACCTCATGATCCGCCCACCTTGGCCTCCCAAAGTGCCAGGATTACAGGTATGAGCCACCACACCTGGCCCTTGGTAGGATTATATAGCTATTTATTTTATTAATAAAAATTTTCTATTAAGTGTACCAGAGCCACTTTTCAGCTCTGAGAATAAGGGACTTTGTAGGTGCCTAGATGAGACTCCTTATTCCCTAGAAATGTTGAAATTTTTGCTCTATTTTTCTCAAAATATGAACATTTCTTGAATACATACCACTTAGTCATCTAGACCTTTAATATCTAAAGTAGTAGTAGTAGCGATTAGAAAGAGAAATTTTTCAGTGATGGTGCACTTTGTGTGTGTGCGCGTGTGTGTGTGTGCGTGCGCGCGCACACACGCGCGTTTTAACTCATGGGCAAATTCAAGTTCAGATGGTGCACTTTTCATTGATTAATGTTATAGCAAATGTCAGTTTGTTTTCTTCAGTTTCTGCTGATGGTTTTAACTGGCACAGAAAGTATTTATTCAACCTTACAGAATTGCATAAGTTGTATTGTGATACAGTTTATTGACTTGTACAGTATTGTCATTACAACTCTTTCAGGTCTGCATGAATCTGAAGCAGAACACCATTTAAGACTGGTGCTGTATAATATAATTCCTACAGATGAGGGCCCAGGGAATAGAACTGAGCCTATGTCTTTTTTTTAATGTTAGTTAAGCAGCTTACCCCCAGTGGGACTTCTATTAGACATCTCTCCATTTGGTCTCTTCTTACACTCCAACCCAGAGGGAACAGTTAATAATTGGATGTTTATAAAATGGGAGTAGAAGGGTTTACTGTGATGGATCCTGACTATCCCTCTAGGAGGAGACCCTTACTTCAGGAATGGGAGTCTTTATCCCTGCAGCCTGAAGCTGCTTCATTTCCCTAGGTCTGTTGTTTTGTTTCTGTAAAGTGTTATGAGTTCTGGATATTTTTGTAAAAGAATCGCTCAAGATTTGTATAAAATGTTGTTTACAGATCTTTTAATGAATAAATACATAAAAATCCCATAGATCTCTTGGAGAATTCTTAAGATGTAAAGATCTTTTATGTCACTTAAATCTATAGCTAGCACATTTACCTAATGGTACTTAGGTAATCAGAATTAGTCTTACACTGACCAGGCTTAATAACTGTGGTCAACATTTCTAGGCTCTTGGCAGACAAAGCCTGGGTCTAGACTGCACACTGGGCAGGGTATATAGTCTGACAACTTTATTTGGTCTTTACCTGCTTGATCAAAGGGAGGCTGCTTAGTCCAGGAGCCATGCAGCAGAGAAGGTGCATGGGCAGCAGCTTCAGTGGTTAGGAGGCAGTGAGGAGTGCCATTCTATTACCGTTAAGTCCTAAAGGCAAAATTACAGGATTTTTAAGTTGGGTGCTATGGTCAGTTATCACTTTCGCTCTTGGGAGCTACTGAGGTTCCTTTTGATACACAGACCATAAAGCTTCACAATTTTAACTGGAGACTGGCGCCCAGTTCTAGAGTCTCTTTAGGAACGGTACTTATCCAATGCAAAAGTTTTCAGGGCACGAGGGGTAAGGATAGTTGGGGTACAACAAGGAAGTAAAAGAGGAACAACACCGGGAGCTGTGGCTCACGCCCGTATTCCCCGCATTTTGGGAGGCCTAAGGGAGAGGATAGTTTGAGGTCAGCCTTGGCGACACAGGAAAACTCCATCTCTACAAAAAAATTTAAAAATTAGCCAGGCGTGGTTGTGTGTGCCTCTAGGCCCTGCTATTCCGGTGGCTGAAGGGATCGGGGCGGAGGGGGGGAG